ACAAACCAAACTAAAATTTTTTACTGAGATGAAATGACCGAAGAAGTTGAAACGGTAGATTTGACACCACAAACAAAAAGTTCAGAACCATTGTCAAAACCTGTCAAAGAACTTACAGATGAAGAGAAAAATTCAATAATAGAAAGTGCCAGGTCTGGAAATACAAACCCTAACTATAAAGTCACTTTTCATAGAAATGGAACGGCTAGTATCTCAAAAAAGAAACAGACTCTCACAAATAAAATATTGAAGTCTGAAGGAGCTTTCGAGACAACAGATGGAAAAGTTTACTTCACTGACCAACAGTTCATTATAGAACATCTCATTGACTTAGAGTCGAAATATTCTAAACTTTACAACAAACACAAAAAGTTGAAAGGAAAACAAAAACAAATGGCATATGATATTTATGAAGATGTTGACGACACAACTGTTCCTGCAAGTGAAGTAAAGTCAGAGAAACCGAAAAGTGACGAAAAAACCGATAGAAGAAGAAAAACCAAAAAACTGAAGATAAACCAAAACCAAAGTTTAGTTTCCAAACTAAACCAAGTCAACCTTCATTAGCTGGTATGGGTTGGCGTCAAAGACTTATGGCAGCAGGCGGTTATGTAAAGTAAAGAAAAAAAACATTTTTTTTTTTATAAAAATGCCCCCATATAGAATGGATAGAAAGTCTGCTAGAATAAAAGCAGAGTTACAAAGATATGGTTGGAGAGTTTCGAAGAATTTAAATATAGGAAGGGAAGACCCATAAAAGTCTATGACAAATTGTCTGGTCTTCGCTACGAAATGGATTTGGAAACAGCACGTGCCAATTATCCAAACAGACTAGAGAGGTTAGAAAAAAGAACGTCTTATGGACATGCCTTTCGATGTTAGTGAACCTCAAGTTGAAGGACACGACGGCTTTGCCAGATTCTACTGGAAACATGACGAACAATTGCATCCTTTGAGAAGGAAAAAAGGTAGTGCAGAGGATGGTCATGCTCCCATGGAAAGAACAAAATATGCATATGAAAAGTATCGTGAAGTTAGAAGTCAAATTACATCTGGTCGAACCTTTACAGTAAACTTTGACGAAGGAAAGAACAAAGAAGGCTTCATGGGAGTACTTGCTGCCATACAAGACGGAAATAAGAAAGGACACAATCTCAGATTGACCATAACAGATTTGGATGGTCACATTTACTATGCACATGGCAATGAACAAACAGCCGCAAAACTTCTTGACGCTTTCAAGACTACAAAGAGAGAACAAATGGTTGACTCCGACTCAGACATTTTGAATGCAATTGAAGGAATTGCAAGTGTCAAGTTTCGAATGGTACCAACCTAACCCTCAAGCAGTCAGACAACATGCTGGATACTTCCCGTTCATAAATAAGTCTGACATTGACTTGACAAGGTATGGAATTTACAATTCAATTGAAACAATTGTCAATGAACCTTGTATTCTTACATGTCTCAGGAACTCTGGTCTTGTTACAGATGAGAAGATGAAGTATCTTGAGTCATGTGTGAAGACAAGGTACATTCTCAGAGGTCAATTGGCAAAAATTGCACCGTTGGCAAATGTCAATATCCGAGTCAACATACCTACAGCTAAAGGTTCTTCACATGACGACTATGTTGTTGAGTTCAATTTACCATGGTTGAAGATTGTAATTGTCCACAACCACTTCATGTTGAACGAAAGTCTTACAAACCCATTGTTCGGAAAAGGCAAGTGCAACATTGTCAGAGCTGTAAACATTCTTTTCGAGAAAGGTTTGTTGGAACCAATTCCAGATGACAAGCTGACAGAAACTTTTGTACCAAAAGACGAAACAAACTTTTCATTGTTAGCAAGACCAAAAGTTGTTCCAGACAAAGTTCTAGTACAAAAGAAGTACACAGTTCCACAAGGAGTTGGATTGTTCGGATACCAACCTGAACCAGAAGAACTTCCAATGAGGTTGCAAGAACTTCAAGATGCTATAAACAAACTTCCATTGAGACATCCAATTGACGTCAAATTGTATTGGAGAGCATCTGAGTTAGGTCAGAAGGTTTTATATGAAACAGGTTGCTTCGACGATGTTTATGAGATAACAGGAGAAGTTTCTCAGAAGATAAGAGACTCACTTGAATTTCCACAAACTGGACCAATTGGTTGCGACAAGTTCGACTCAAACGAAAAGATATACTATGTCGACCTTAACGCTGCGTACATGAGGTTTGTCCAATATATTCCGACTGGAATTCCAAACGAAGATGGTGAGTTCCCGGGAAGGAACTATACAGTTGGAAAAGTCATACAACAACTGTATGATATTAGGAAAGCTTCAAACCCCAAACTTGCAATGACACTCAAATTGCTTATGAATTCGACATGGGGATATTCCATTAAGAAACCTCAAGAGATGAAGAGTAAACATTATGAGAAGGTCGACAACTTTGTTGAAAGGTTTTCTCCTTTTGTTTTGAAGTACGAATTCACTCAAGGTCAAAGTGGCTTAGTAACCACATTAAAACCTATTGTCGAACATTGGTCTTACCCTCAGTTCGCAAAGGCAGTCCTTGACAACTACAACAAATTCTTCTCCGAAGTCAAATCCAAAGTGAAGGTTTACTATGAGAACATTGACGCACTCATGACGAACGAAGAAGGGTACAACAAACTCATTGAAATGGGTTTAGTCGGTGAAAAGATGGGCTGTTTTAAGCTAGATAAGGTATTTTCCGAAGTTCATGTAATATCGAAAAGGAAATATTGGGGTATACTTGAAGACGGCACAGAAATAAAACATTGCATGAAATAAAAAATTTATTTTTTAAAAAGTGACATTTTTTTATTTTATTTGAAATGTACGCTGAGTTTGCTTATGTAAACACTAGAGATACAGATGGAAAATACGTTCAAATACTTCTTAACAAATTCAAGAAGCTATATGGCATACCATTTTAAAACAATATATTTTTACATATATTAAATGCTTCAGGTTGAAAAACAAAGAACAAAAGTAGCAGATACAAAACCATTAGACTATATCTTTACAAATGCTGGTAGGACTATTTCAGATGAAGAAATTTCATCCCGAGCATACAGGTTTGACTATCCAATTCGTTGGCTTCAAAGTCCTTCAGATGCAAAGGCAATAGGATTTAGAAGAGTTTTGTTTTCAAATAGAACTAACGCATTTATGTTCGCAGTATATTTTCATGGGCAGTATAAAGGTCCTGATGGTCTAATAGACAAATTTGACGAAATGAGAATCTTTACAGTTCGTTCAGACGAAAGTCTTGAGAAAACTCTAAATGACTTTCAAACTCAAATGAACAAATATTATTGGGAATTTCAAGAAAAATACGACTCTTTACTAAATGGAACATACTATCTGAAACTAGAATATGACAAGATGAACTCCACCGTTTCATTTCAAAAGATTGAAATTAACCCTCCAAGAGATACAGAGTTTTTATTTTGGAAAGTAGACAAACGTTCTTGGGCACAATTTCTTCGGTTACTAAACCAGAACGAACCATTACCACCAGATGGTCCATTTAAATTTATACTTCCACCAGCAGATTTGACAGTTTATAGAAACGTGTTTGACCCTCAAAATGTTATGTGTCATGCAAGTTTCAGTTCAAGCAACAATAGTTTTCTATGTATTGGTAAGGACTTTTATGACTTTGCTTCTAAATTCTACGAACCACCTAGTAACAGTTTCTCTGACTTTCAAGTTTGGTTCACAACAAATGGTGTGCAACATATTATTCCATTGTACTATGACTTTTATCTCGAATTGTCTTTCATATATAACTACGGAAAAGTGCTGAAAAAGTATTGAAAAATAATGTTTATGTTAGCATGTTAGATCTAACACGTTTTCTAACCACTTTTCTAACATCGTAGAAAACTCATGAAAACAATTTATTTTTGACACTTTCACAAAAAACATAAAAAAGTGAAGTTAAAATGAGATGTTTACTGAACTGGTTGGATGCCGCCTTCTGAGGTTATGTAGAACGGCTGACCCGAGAAGTGGAACAGTGCTCTGAGAATTTGTATAATTCTTGGGAAAGGGTTCTCTCTGTTTGGAAGTAGTATCCAAGGACGCTTGGCAAAGAACTTTATAATGGCTTCCTTCTTTGCTTGCTTTATGTCGTCGAAAGGAGTGTTTTCTGGTATTTGAATTGGAATTCCGGTCGAAGTCTCGAGATTCAAGGCAGCCCTTCCCGTTATCCAACCGTTAACAAGCTTGCCTTTTACATTCTGCCTGAGGAAGTCTTTAACAAGCTCGTTAATTTCAATTAGGTAAATTGCCTCGTCGGTAGGTTCGACCTCGACCATTGCTACTATCAGTAAAAGTACTGCTACTGTCAGTAAAAGTACTGCTACTGTCAGTAAAAGTACTGCTACTGTCAGTAAAAGTACTGCTATTGTCAGTAAAAGTACTGCTACTGTCAGTAAAAGTACTGCTACTGTCAGTAAAAGTACTGCTACTGTCAGTAAAAAGGAAAATTTGAGAGGGTTTTCGACGATAAAGTACTGCTACTGTCAGTAAAAGTACTGCTACTGTCAGTAAAAGTACTGCTACTGTCAGAAAAAGTACTGCTACTGTCAGTAAAAGTACTGCTACTGTCAGTAAAAGTACTGCTACTGTCAGTAAAAGTACTGCTACTGTCAGTAAAAGTACTGCTACTGTCAGTAAAAGTACTGCTACTGTCAGTAAAAGTACTGCTACTGTCAGTAAAAGTACTGCTACTGTCAGTAAAAAGGAAAATTTGAGAGGGTTTTCGACGATAAAGTACTGCTACTGTCAGTAAAAGTACTGCTACTGTCAGTAAAAGTACTGCTACTGTCAGAAAAAGTACTGCTACTGTCAGTAAAAGTACTGCTACTGTCAGAAAAAGTACTGCTACTGTCAGTAAAAGTACTGCTACTGACAGTAGCAGTACTGCTAGTAGCAGAGATTTTTATCGTTGTGGTCCGACGGTTAAGCCACAAACGAATGTCCCACGTCCCACCAACCCAGTCCATTCCCAAACCAGAGGAACCTAAAGAACCACAACAGTCTCCTCAGCAACCTCAGTTCCAGCAAGTACCTCCGAATTACTACCAATTTCCACCTCAAGGTTACTACCCACCACAAGGCTTCCCGAACTACCCTCCTCAGCCTATGCCTTACTTCCCCAACCCTTGGTTGTTCCAGCAAGCTCCACCCCAGTAATTCCAATCTCAGTCCAAGAGAGACCAAGACTTCGAAGAAGGTCTGAACCGTTTACGCAAAGAGTATGCTACAGCTCCAATTGAGAGAAAGTTGTTCCCGGACCAAAAATATAATTTAGGTGAAGAGGTGAGATTTCACCTCTTTTTTCACCTGTTTTTTCACCCTCTTGAATTTTCATACGGAATCTCTTCTCTCGGTTTTCCGAGGGAAGCAATCATATGAGGAAATTCTTCTAAAAGTTCTTTTGTCTGTTGGTTTTCAAACCAATGATATGCTTGCTTTGTAGAACGAAGAATATTATAAGGCATTTTGTGAAGAATATAGCAACCGCCGGAATTCAGACGGTTGCTTTTTATACAAAATTCACGCAGGAAATTCTTGAGTTTTGGTTGAAAGAATACTGTGGAGCCAAAAGTGGCTCGACCTCAAAACAAGCATTTTATGAGCTTACTAAGGGCGTTATAAATGAATTCAAAGGTATTTACATACATCCTGACCTCGTTCATTTTGTTGCTGAATTCAGCAAAAATAATGTTTATGTTAGAATGTTAGATCTAACACGTTTTCTAACCTCATTTCTAACATGGTCTAAAACTCTCGAAAATCATGAATTTTATATATTAATGTTTTCGCTAAGCCACTTTGTGCCGTCAGTCAGTCAGTCAATGAAATTTACACCAAAAATATAATTTAGGTGAAGAGGTTAGATCTAACCTCATTTCTAACCTCATTTCTAACCTCATTTCTACCCTCTTGAATTTTCATGAATTTCCTTAAGATAGAAAAAATAAAGTTAGTTTTATTTTTATTTATTTTTTTATTTTGTATAAAAGATATGATTTCAGGGATTTTTTTGACGAAGTGTAAATCTTCACTTCGTCAAAAATAACAGTTATATAATGAAAAAGTGAAAGTTATTCTTCATTTTTTTGTATTTGACGAGAATGTCGGGTAGATGGTTAGATCTAACACGTTTTCTAACCACTTTTCTAACATGGTCTAAAACTCTCGAAAATCATGAATTTTTGACATTTCCTTATGAAAGAAAAATAACGCTAATTTTTTTCTAAGAAAAATTTTTATCTTGTATGTAAAGATATGATTTCAACAATCGGCACAACAACAATTCAAACAACAGCACCAAACTCGTTAGTCATGAATCCAACATCTATGTTAGTAGAAATGAAAAGCTTCATTCCTTCTTCATATACTTTTGAAACAGAAATCCAGAAGATAAAGCAAGAACTTTTAACAAGTAATTTAGACTGTAGTGCGAAAGATGAAACAAATGAAGAATATCTTTATGAAATGCAGGACATTATTGACCATTTGCCTAAACTACCTGAAATCCAACAACAAAAACTCACTATTCCTGAATTCGACGAAATTGAAGTGAAACCAACTGACTCAGTAGAAATTAAGAAATTCATACGTAAAGTAAATTATGAATTCCTTGGTTTTCATTGCAACCATAAAGTTATGGACAAAGATTGCGACATGGTTTATAAAAATATTTCTGACATATATAAATCTGAAGAATTTAAGACCTACGACAACTTTGTTTCGTTAGTTGCTGAATGTGTTTGGGAAATAAGAGATAAAGATAGAAGAGGCAAAGTATGGAACAAACAAATAAGACCCGCTATGTTTGAGATGAAGAGAGCAATTGACGCTTTAGTTGTTTTAGCTGGTTTTATTTCAATGTATAACGCAAAATTGAACCCGCAATGTTCAAAATGTAAGGCAGCAATTAGGAAATATAACTACTCAGTCAAAGAGATAGAAAGAATGAGAAACGACTATGCAGACTTAAAGAAAGAAGCAGAAAAGCCAGCAGAAGATAAAATGGACATGTTAGCATTTCTGAACAAAAACTATCCAACTGCTGACGATTTCCTATTATCTGACGTCAAGAAGAAGTATAAAGAAACCTTCGGCATAGTTAAAACATTCGATGTACTAAAAGAAGAAATAGAAGCTACAAAACTGTTTAAAGTCATGAACCATCGCAACATATACCATGTAAAACGCTTGTAAATAGTTATGTTAGAAAAGAGGTTAGAAAACGTGTTAGATCTAACATGTTAACATAAACATTATTTTTGCTGAATTCAGCACAAAATTCTGAGTAAAATGGCATATGGCATGTGTCAAACCGTTGAGTTTTCACAAAATTCCAAAAATAACGCTAATTTTTTATAAAATTTGACGAAGTGCAAATCTTCACTTCGTGTCATAATGTAAAAATAAAGTTAGTTTTTTATAAAATTTGACGAAGTGCAAATCTTCACTTCGTGTCATAATGTAAAAATAAAGTTAGTTTTTTATAAAATTTGACGAAGTGCAAATCTTCACTTCGTGTCATAATGTAAAAATAACGCTAATTTTTTATAAAATTTGACGAAGTGCAAATCTTCACTTCGTGTCATAATGTAAAAATAAAGTTAGTTTTTTATAAAATTTGACGAAGTGCAAATCTTCACTTCGTGTCATAATGTAAAAATAACGCTAATTTTTTATAAAATTTGACGAAGTGCAAATCTTCACTTCGTGTCATAATGTAAAAATAACGCTAATTTTTTATAAAATTTGACGAAGTGCAAATCTTCACTTCGTGTCATAATGTAAAAATAACGCTAATTTTTTATAAAATTTGACGAAGTGCAAATCTTCACTTCGTGTCATAATGTAAAAATAACGCTAATTTTTTATAAAATTTGACGAAGTGCAAATCTTCACTTCGTGTCATAATGTAAAAATAAAGTTAGTTTTTTATAAAATTTGACGAAGTGCAAATCTTCACTTCGTGTCATAATGTAAAAATAACGCTAATTTTTTATAAAATTTGACGAAGTGCAAATCTTCACTTCGTGTCATAATGTAAAAATAACGCTAATTTTTATAAAATTTGACGAAGTGCAAATCTTCACTTCGTGTCATAATGTAAAAATAACGCTAATTTTTTTATAAAATTTGACGAAGTGCAAATCTTCACTTCGTGTCATAATGTAAAAATAACGCTAATTTTTTATAAAAATTTGACGAAGTGCAAATCTTCACTTCGTGTCATAATGTAAAAATAACGCTAATTTTTTATAAAATTTGACGAAGTGCAAATCTTCACTTCGTGTCATAATGTAAAAATAACGCTAATTTTTTATAAAATTTGACGAAGTGCAAATCTTCACTTCGTGTCATAAGTAAAAATAACGCTAATTTTTTATAAAATTTGACGAAGTGCAAATCTTCACTTCGTGTCATAATGTAAAAATAACGCTAATTTTTTATAAAATTTGACGAAGTGCAAATCTTCACTCGTGTCATAATGTAAAAATAACGCTAATTTTTATAAAATTTGACGAAGTGCAAATCTTCACTTCGTGTCATAATGTAAAAATAACGCTAATTTTTATAAAATTTGACGAAGTGCAAATCTTCACTTCGTGTCATAATGTAAAATAAAGTTAGTTTTTTTATAAAATTTGACGAAGTGCAAATCTTCACTTCGTGTCATAATGTAAAAATAACGCTAATTTTTTATAAAATTTGACGAAGTGCAAATCTTCACTTCGTGTCATAATGTAAAAATAAAGTTAGTTTTTTTATAAAATTTGACGAAGTGCAAATCTTCACTTCGTGTCATAATGTAAAAATAAAGTTAGTTTTTTATAAAATTTGACGAAGTGCAAATCTTCACTTCGTGTCATAATGTAAAAATAAAGTTAGTTTTTTATAAAATTTGACGAAGTGCAAATCTTCACTTCGTGTCATAATGTAAAAATAAAGTTAGTTTTTTATAAAATTTGACGAAGTGCAAATCTTCACTTCGTGTCATAATGTAAAAATAAAGTTAGTTTTTTAAAAATTTGACGAAGTGCAAATCTTCACTTCGTGTCATAATGTAAAAATAACGCTAATTTTTTATAAAATTTGACGAAGTGCAAATCTTCACTTCGTGTCATAATGTAAAAATAACGCTAATTTTTTATAAAATTTGACGAAGTGCAAATCTTCACTTCGTGTCATAATGTAAAAATAACGCTTAATTTTTTATAAAATTTGACGAAGTGCAAATCTTCACTTCGTGTCATAATGTAAAAATAACGCTAATTTTATAAAATTTGACGAAGTGCAAATCTTCACTTCGTGTCATAATGTAAAAATAACGCTAATTTTTTATAAAATTTGACGAAGTGCAAATCTTCACTTCGTGTCATAATGTAAAAATAACGCTAATTTTTTATAAAATTTGACGAAGTGCAAATCTTCACTTCGTGTCATAATGTAAAAATAACGCTAATTTTTTATAAAATTTGACGAAGTGCAAATCTTCACTTCGTGTCATAATGTAAAAATAACGCTAATTTTTTATAAAATTTGACGAAGTGCAAATCTTCACTTCGTGTCATAATGTAAAAATAACGCTAATTTTTTATAAAATTTGACGAAGTGCAAATCTTCACTTCGTGTCATAATGTAAAAATAACGCTAATTTTTTATAAAATTTGACGAAGTGCAAATCTTCACTTCGTGTCATAATGTAAAAATAACGCTAATTTTTTATAAAATTTGACGAAGTGCAAATCTTCACTTCGTGTCATAATGTAAAAATAACGTTTTTTTATAAAATTTGACGAAGTGCAAATCTTCACTTCGTGTCATAATGTAAAAATAACGCTAATTTTTTATAAAATTTGACGAAGTGCAAATCTTCACTTCGTGTCATAATGTAAAAATAATAATTTTTTATAAAATTTGACGAAGTGCAAATCTTCACTTCGTGTCATAATGTAAAAATAACGCTAATTTTTTTAAAATTTGACGAAGTGCAAATCTTCACTTCGTGTCATAATGTAAAAATAAAGTTTTTTTATAAAATTTGACGAAGTGCAAATCTTCACTTCGTGTCATAATGTAAAAATAACGCTAATTTTTTATAAAATTTGACGAAGTGCAAATCTTCACTTCGTGTCATAATGTAAAAATAACGCTAATTTTTT